ACGCGCCAGATAGAGACATATAGACAGAAAGCGAGAAATCACCCCCCAGGGGGTATGGTCATGCTGCAATCCCTTCTCCTCCATTCTCCTCTCGGGATCTTGGGCACGCACGCACACGTGCCCGGCGTGAGTTTTAAGCCACTGGGTCCGGGATGTGAACCGCGGTCGACTACGTGGGAGTCCAGCGACATAGCCATTACGCTAACTGCTGGTTCCCCTCTCATGCATCCCATCCTAAAGTTCCTCTCAAACAGGAAGTTAACTGGAGGACCTTTAGGAAGGGCGAGGCTAAAATAAAAATAAAAGCCAAGCTTTTTCACCACGACCTAATAGTAGATGAGCCATCTACTACTTACCCCAGGAGCTTTATCTCCAGCCCTCCTGTATCAGTCAACGAATGAGTGCTGTGTGTTCCAGCAAACATTATTTACAGAAATAAACAGTTGTTGTTTGCTGATCCTTCTCTGCACCCATGTTTAAAGGTACCCTGGAGAGAGGTGATTCTATGGAGAGAAGTGATTCTATATAGCATGGCTTATGGATTTTACCAACTGTGGGTCCCAATCCATTAGTGGATCTGTATGTAGTTAGCATTAAAAGGGAAAAAAAAGTGGGCCAGGTGGGGGGTGGTGGTGAAGGTGGCTAGATTCCACATGGCCAACTGTACAGTTTGAGCTCTGGACCCAGCAGTTTGAAAAACACCAGATGCATGCCAAAATCCCAGGATGAGAATGGAGAAGGGATTATGGCATGGCCATCTTCCCTAAGTGGTGATTTCTCATTTTTCCCCTTTATCTCTCTGTCTCTCTCCAGTGAGAGCATACACCCTACAGCAAACTTTAAAACAATGATTTATGGGGTCCAGCAGGTGGCATAGTGGTTGAGAATGCTGGACTCCCACATGGCCAACCGTGGCTTAAGTCCCGGACCTACCTGGCAGCTTGTTTTCTGACTTTCTCTCTCTCTCTCTGTCCCTCTCTGTCCAAATTTAAAAAGTAAAGAAAGAAATAAAGCTATATAAAATTATAAAAACATTATTCATGGACACTGGGATTTGAATTAGTATACCTTTTACATGACAAACGGGGGGTGAAGGTCTTAAAAGAGTTAGTGGAAAATGCATGTTATATACAAATTATGCATGTATTTCAGTTTTACGCCAAAATAACCTTATACCTTTTCCCATCAATTTTTTTTTTCTTTTTTGAGAGGTTTTCATTATAGGGTGCGTGCGCTCGCCAGACAGACAGAGACATAGAGACAGAAAGCGAGAAATCACCCCCCAGGGGGGATGGTCACGCCGCAATCCCTTCTCCTCCATTCTCCTCTCAGGATCTTGGGCACGCACGCACATGCGCCCGGCGTGAGTTCTAAGCCACCGGGTCCGGGACGCGAACCGCGGTCGACTATGTGGGAATCCAGCGACATAGCCATTACGCTAACTGCTGGTTCCCTCCCATCAATTTTTTAAAATATATTTTTTTATCTTTTTCCCAACCATTTAAAAATGTAAAAGCCAGTTTTAGTTTGCAGACCTCAGAAAAGCAGTTAACAGGTAACATGTGACTAGAATGCTGAAGAAAGGCCTTTTGGTGGCCCTGTAGACTAATGCTTAAGAAGTCCTATTCTGGGACCGGCAGGTGGTGTGGTGATTAAGGGTACTGGACTCCCACACGGCTGACCATGGTTTGAATCCTGGACCTGGTGAGTTGCTTTCTCACTTTTTCTCTCTCTCTTTCTCACTTTGTCTCTCTGTGGTCAAATTAAAATAAATAAATAAATAAAGTTAAATAAAATATTTCTTTTTTTCTTTTTTTTTTGGAGAAGTTTCTGCTATAGGGTGCATGCGCTTGCCAGAAAGACAGAGAGAGACAGAGAGATAGATATTCACTCCCTAATCCCTGGGACCTGTAAATATTATGCTATGTGGCAAAAGAGACTTTGCCGATCTGTTCAGTCCAAAACTTCTAAATAAGAATAACCTAATGAGATCAGGCTGATTACATGAGCCCTTAAAACCAGAAATTTTTCTCCAGTATGAGTGAAAAAGATACAGCATTGTATCTGTGATGATGACCCACATGGGAAGTTCTGGGTTTGCATCTGAGATCTCCCTGAAAACACCAGGCACAGACTTTCTCCTGATCCAGGGCTGGCTGGGGCTGAGAGTGTATCATGGTGTGAAGATTTTCTGCCTGTCTGTATGTGTATGTGTGTGTGTATTTCTCTTTTTTTCTTTCACTTATGGATTTAGAAATAAATAAACTTTTTAAAGAAGAGATGTGGCAGAGGGGGAAGCCAGAGAGATTCAAAGTATGAAAGGAACTTGGCCTTTCCTTGCTTACCAGATACTACCTACAAAGCATGAGAAAACCTCTCCAAAAAAAAAAAAAAATCTTTAAAAAAAAAATCCTTTTCCACACAACTAACTGTGGTTTGAATGCTGGCTCTGATGACTTGAAAAACACCAGGTGTATGTGCATTCATACCCAAAATCTTGACAGGACAGATAAATGGAGAAGAGACTGCAGTATGACCCTACCCGATTGGGAGAGTGTTTTCTTGCTCTCTGTCTGTCTGTCTCTGGCAAGTGCCTATGTACCCTCTGGTAATTTTAATTTTTTAAATATTTATTTACTTATTTATTTTATTTGTTATTATTTGTATTTTAATTTTACCAGAGAAAGACAGAGAGAGAAAGGGAAAGTAAGAAAGCAAGCTACCAAGTCCAGGACTCAAACTATGGTCGGCCATGTGGGAGCCCAGCACCCTAACAACCATGCCACCTGCCAGCCCTCACCCTCTGGTAATTAAAAACAAAAACAAAAATGAAGACTGAGACAGCAGTGGAACAGAGGTTGAGACATTGGCTCCCATATGGCCAACGGTGTGGTTAGAGTCCCGGACCCGATGGCAGCTTGAAAATCACACCCAGGTGTGTGTGTATGCCCAAAATCCCAAGAGGAAACTGGAGGAGTGGGAATTGAGGTGTGATTTCTCACTTTCTCTCTCTGGTGAACACATGTGCCCTATAGCCAAAGAGTTTAAAAAAGGCTTTTCTAGGAACCAATGTTTGAGCTGGAACTTGAAGAAGAAAATAATCTTGTAAAGACGTTAGCTAGATGTTTTTTCTTTTAAAGACAGTTTTGCTACAGGGCCTGTGCACTCACTGGACAGACAGAGAGACAGAAAGGGAGAAATCACTTCCTCCTCTTCCCCCGCCCCTGAGAAGAGATGGCCATGTCGTAATCCCTTCTCCTCCATTCTCCTCTGGGGATTTTGGGCACACATGAACATGTGCCTGACCTGAGTTTTAAGCTGCTGGGTCCAGGACTTGAACCATGGCTGACTACATGGGAGTCTAGCAACATAACCATTATACCATCTGCTGGTTCCAAGGTTATATAGAGTTTTACAGACAAAATACCAAATGTAGATGCCCTGAGTAAGAATGGGCCAGGCTTGCTTGCAGAGCAGAAGGATGATGCATACACAGTACTATTTTTGAGACTTTCTTTTTAGTGTCATTTACAATTAAGTATATCTTACATCACGATCACGCCCCCATATACACACACATTTATATAACAAAATTAAGTAAAGGTTTGTTTTGGGTGCGCACGCGCACATGCACCTGGGGTGTTTTTCAAGCCACTGGGCTGGGACTTGAGCTGAGCTGTTGGCCATGTGGGATCCAACTTCCATGCCACTGGCAAGCCTCATAAATAAAGTTTCATAAAGGGGACCCCAGATGGTGTAATGGTTACATTACTGGACTCCCACATAGTCAACTGCAGTTCAAGTCCTGGACCCGGTGGCTTAAAACTCACACCAGGTGCATGTGCATGCGTGCCTAAGATCCTGAGAGAAGAATGAAGAAGGGATTGCAGTGTGGCCATCCCCCCCCCCCGCGGGGGGGGGGGGGGGGGGGG